TTGCGAGTCACCTGGCAGGCCCCAGCTGGGCTGGCTGTCCGTGTCCCTCGGCCTGGCTGGTGACTCCCTGCGGGCCGGAAATGAAGAGTCCCTGGAGGTTTGGGTTTTGTTTGTTTATTTTGTTGTTTTACGACCTTTTTTCCTCATTAAAAAAAAAAAGTCCCTGTGGAGTGTATTTATTTATTTTTTGATTAAAGGGAAGTAAAATGCATTCTGTTTTGTGTGTTTCCTAAAGAATCAGTGATTCCCCTAGGGGACTCCCTACTTTGGCTGCAGAACAACCTGGAATGGCTGTTCCCATTGAAACCAAAGGAAGAGGGAGGCCCTGATCCTAAGCTCGGCAGCCCTGCCTGGCCCCAGCCAGCGGTGAGACATGGCCTCCAGGATGGAGAGGGGCACAGGCGGCTCCCTCGCCGCCTTCTCAGCTGGTCCCAGGCCCGTCCCCACAGAGCAGCTCCCAGCCCAGTGCCAGGCCCATGATCAGCTCGGCTCAGCACAGCTGATGCCGGCGGCAGGGCCTGCGGGTGGGTCTGGCACCTGAAGTTCTCTTGAGCTCACATTGTTACATTGTTTTAAGTTAGTTGCCAACATTTTTAAAATGTAGAGTTCACATTTTTTTAAAAAAATCCAGATGTCTTCTCTTAAAATGGAAAGTTCCAGTAACAATGGACTTAGTTTCCTGCCTGTGGCAGTCAGAGTGCAGAGCAGAGGCCGCTCCCTCTAGGTGGGATGGGCCCTGCGCTGGCCAGCTGTGTCTCACACCCACCTGCAGCTTCTCTCACCTAGAAAAGTGTCCCCTCTGGGGAACGTGTACCCTTAGGACCCCTGACCTGACCCACCTTCCAACCCTATGTCTCCATCCTCCCTCTGCGAGGGACGCCCTGGTCACTCTAGGCCACACTTCTGGGTGGGGAGGGACGAAGGCAGGGACTTGGGAGTCAGGGTCCTGAGAGAGTCCCTGCACTGCCAAGCCTGGTCAGGTCTTAGTGTCCATTTTTTTTCTCTTTAAAGTTTCAAGTGTAGAAACAATAGTGTTCTATGGGATTTTTTGAGGCAATCAAGTAGAGTAGCGGATGTGGTCTGCTTCATATATAAAATGCTGTACAAATGGGAATGTGTTTGGGAATGTGTGGTGTGGTGGAAGAAAGGTTTGGGAATCCGGTAAATGTTTCTAAAAAACCGACCCCTGCATTCATATTTCAGAGCCTTAGTTTTGTTGTGTGAAAACGGGGAAGAGTGTCTCCCCCGAGGGAGGCAAGGTGAGCTGAAGAGCACCGGGTGCAAGTGCATAGTCGGGTTCGGCAGGTTCCCTTCTTCGCCTGTGCCTCCCAGATGATGGAGAGAGTGGGCGTGTGTTGGAAGATGAGACACAGGGATGGTGGGGACTGCTCTCAGATGGTGAGACGGGGCTTCTGTGAACACCAGTGCACACTCCCACAGTCACTCTGCCCAAGGATGACCTGTTCCTTCTTCCCCTCCCTCCTACCCATCATGAAGCCCCTCATCTGCCCACCCATCTATCCATCCATCTACCTACCTATCTACCCATCCATTCATCTGTCCATCCATCCGTCTGCCCATCCATCCACCCAACTGTCCACCTACCCATCCATCCATTCATTTGTCCATCCATCCATCCATCCATCCATCCATCCACCCATCCATCTACCCACCTACCCATCCATCCACTCATCTGTCCATCCATCAATCCATCCATCCATCCATCCATCCATCGATCCATCCATCCACCCATCCATTCGCCCATCTATCCACCCACCTACCCATCCACTCATCTTCCCATCCATCCACCCACCTACCCATCCACCCATTCCTCTGTCCATCCATCCATCCACCTACCCATCCATTCATTCATCTGTCCATCCATCCATCCATCCACCCACCCATCTGCCCATCCACCCATCCATCCATCCTTCCAAGGCAGCTCTCTGCACAGAAGTCTCCAGAAACCACAGCATTGACCAGTAGTTGTGAGCTGAGATGCCTTCAGAGGCCAGGCAGGTAATAAATGAGAGGAAAAGGGCCTTGGGTTAAATACTAGGGAGTAATAGCAACTGTGGAAAACTAAAATGTGTATGCCCAGGCTGTGAAGGAATGCGAATTTGGAAGAAACATTAAGCACTAACTACCAAACAAAACCTATGAAGGGGCAAAAATGGTTCTCTGGCCCCTTTGCGGCTGCCACAACAGTGCTAGGTGGTGGCTCCAGGTCTCCTGCAGAGAGGGCAGGGAACGCAAAGCCCAGATGGGCACTCGCACGAGGCCTGGACACCACGGCTTTGTGTCCCCAGCTTCCCTGTACCCCACAGTCTTGCCCTCCTCACTCTTAATTCTTTTCTCTTTTTCTTAGATAAGCAAATACATGAATGTATTCTCTTAAATACAACATTTCAAACCTGGGTAAAGCCTCTGGGCCCCTCTCCTTCAAGGCCCCTCCCCTTCAGGGCCCCTCCCACTTTCCCTCTTCCCATTTCCATCCATATCTGTCTGTGCACGCCCTGGGAAGCCCGGGCCTGTGATGCTACGTGACATAAAACACGCCCTCAGCACGGCTAACTCAGCGACCCCCTGGCACATCCGCATCAGCGTGCCCTATTATGGGAGTGTTTTGAGGAAGCAGCCAAAGCTTTAGTGGAAAACCACCCAGGAAAGCTTCACCAGAGAGTCCTCCACTGCAGCAATGCCCCTGCTCCCTCCTCATCAAACAAGGGCAATTTTGCAAGCGTTTCCATGGGAAATCATGAGGCACTCACCTTACAGTCCTGATATGGCTCCTTCTGACTTTTTGTTTCCTAATCGTAAAAGAAAAAGAAAAAATCTGTAAAGGGCACCTTTCTTCAGTTAATAATGTAAAAAAGATGGCATTGCCATGGTGACATTCCCAGGACCCTCAGTTTTTCAGGGAGGGGCTGAGTGGCTGGTCTCATCGCCCACCAAAGTGTCTTGACCTTGATGGAACTTATGTTGAGAAAGAAAGTTTGTCTCTTATTTTTAATCTTTGAATTCCATTTTCCACCAACTTTTTTTTCCTTTTTTTTTTGAGACAGGTTTTCCACTCTTGTCGCCCAGGCAGGAGTGCAACTGCGTGATCTCGGCTCACTGCAACCTCCGCCTCCTGGGTTCAAGTGACTCTCCTGCCTCAGATTCCGAGTCGCTGGGATTACAGGCATGTGCCACCATGTCCGGCTAATTTTGTATTTTCAGTAGAGACGGGGTTTCTCCATGTTGGTGGTGTGAGCCACCGCGCCCGGGCTCCACAAACGTTTTGAAGTCGCGAATGTGTGTATCTGTGCACATGCATGCTGTGTATGCATGTGTGTGTGGGCATTTGTGTGTGTGAGTGTGCATGTACGTGCATGTGTGGAGTCTCCCTCCTTACCTCCACTGCCCAATATAGGCCCATCCACCCAAAGGGTAGAAGCCAACCTTTGTTGAATTAAACAAACCCCTGCCGCTTCACCCCCTCTTCAACGCCATGTTGTCTGCTGCAGAGGGCTGCTGTGACGATTGTCCAGGGTCCCCTGTATAAGCGCCAGGCAGATACACTTGTGTGTCCCTTTTCCCCTGGACAGCAGAGCGCGACGGCACTGCCTTCAGCCGACATCTGCAGATTGCAGTGCTTACCAGCAGGTGGCAGCAGCCGCCCAAGCGTCTCTGTTTCCCGTTACTTCGTCTTGGTTTCCAAATGTCTGGTGCTCTTGGTCCATAGAGGCACCAGGGCGAGGCCAGTGAGAGCTGACTGGGGCAGGGCATGACTTACCCATACAATTGATGATATCCTAGCAACAAGATTTCCTGAGCACCTGCCAGATGCCAGACACTGTTCTGGGCACATTACACACATTAACTTGACGCCACAACAGCCCTAAGACGTCTGCCTGATCGGTATACCCATTTCACAGATGAGGAAGCTGAGGCACAGGAGGTAAAATCATGTCCACAGGGCTGGAGGCTGGAAAGCGGATCTGCTGC